TAAATAAATAAATAAATATTGAAAAAAAATTACTTATAAAAAAAAAAATCATAGAAGAGGGGCATGGATGCACTCACTGGCACAGTGCTAGAATGCACAAGGTCCTGGATCCAGTACTCAGCAATGGAAAAAAAAAAAATGGGTAAAATCTAAAATCCCCCCTAACAGTTTCATATTTTGGGAAGGTGACTGGATCATAGAGGCACTGTCATCAGTAGATTCATGCTGAATGTACTATTAGGAGGTGAGCCTAGTCAGAGATAAGGACCTGAGGGACCTATAGAAGAGTGTATTCTTATCTCAGTCTTGTTTCTGTTTCTGTCTTTCTGTGTCCATGTCCATAACCGTCCGTCTCTCTTTTTTTTTCTCTCTCTCTGTCTTCAAACAATCATGAGATGAACAGCTGTGCTCTACCAGGTCCTTCTACCATGCCATTTCTTCCTTAGAGATATCTGACTTTGGACTGAATCCATTGGGAACTGTAAGCCAAATAAAATCTCATTTCTTTTAAATTGTGGGTACCAAGTATTTTGTTTCAACAATGGGAAAGTTGACTAATACGCATATGAAACATACTCTAAAGCATACATCATCATGGAACAATAAACTAAAATTATCAGATATTGTTATATAACTGTTAAAATGACCCAGATCCAGAACATTGACAACACCAAACACTAGTGAGACAAAAGGAACTGTCATTGCTGGTTAAAATGCAAAATTGGGCGGGCCAGCCTGGTAGCTCAGTAGACTAACTAACTGCTTAGGCAAGTACAGCGACCAGGATTTGATCAGCTGACCTCAGATTTGTGGCAATCCTCTTGCCTCAGATTCCTGAATGCTGCAGTTATAGGTAAATAGTGGACTCTTGAATGATGCTCAAGATCCCAACTACAGCAACTATGTATTATGTCAATTATATCCCAAAAACATATGTTCCAGTATTTCTACATGTTTTACTTCCCTATCTCCCCCTACCCCACCTTATAATTAAGAAGCTAAACAAAATCTTCCATCTTGCTCCCACCAATCACCCACTTTCCCAGGCTGTGCTTATTGCCAAGCTCAATTTACATCTTTCCAAATATTCTCTGAAGATCACAACCTTATATTTCAATCACTTCTTATGATCCCACTACAAATCACTAATAATCATTCTTAAGGCTGACACAAGGGGATCACCATGAGTTTGAGGTCTGCCTGGGCTATACAGTGAATTCAAGGCCAGTCTGAATTATATAGCAAGATTAGCCCACTCCCCCCCAAAAAAATAAATCTTGCCATCATATTTATGATATATACTCCAAAGAAATCAAAACTTGGGGTTTTTTTTTCAAGTTTTATCAACAATTCCCATGAATCTTACTCACAATGTAGTTCAGGAAACAAGACCAAGATAAAACTAAACTTTACAAGATAGCATTTAATTGTTAACAAAGCTGATCAGATCACATGTTTTCAGAAGGTCACATAATGTCAATGCAAATCACATTAAGGGGACCTGGGAACTAATGCCCAAAAATAATGAGAACAGCTGAAACAAACATTCCACAGCTTGACTACTATGCCAATAGCTTTAGGTCACTAATAACATGTATCGTCCTCCTTAACATTTAATTACTTATAATAAGGTTTTTTTGTTTTGTTTTGTTTTGTTTTTTTTTTTTTTTCTTCCTCAAATGCCTTCAGGGCACTTGTGGCCAGCGGGAGAGTTGTGAGGTTCGAACTCCAGCAACCTGAGGCTGACAGCTTTGTGGAAGCAGCCACTTAAAGGACTGAGCTAGGGCCAGGCCCCCCTAATTACTTATAGTAAAAGATCTTCAATAATGGTTTTATTTTCTAGAGTACTGCAACATTCTTTAAAGCAAATAAAAATCATTTAAATTATTTAACTTCATCTTTTTGTTCTTCAAGCAAGAGAGGAGAAACAGAAAAATGACAAGATTTTCAAAAAGCTATGACTTGTTGCTACATTCTTCTTCACAAGTATTTAACTGAACATCTAATTACCCTTCATTTGTGAAAATGGTTATTT